GCGGCGGGCGGCCCAGGCCAGTTCGGCGTCGCCGGCGTCCGCAGATCCGCGTCGGTGGGTCGGGTCGGGATGACCCGAACCCGAAGCGGGTCGGGTTCGTGTCCAGAAAATTGACCCGTTTGCAAAACCGGGTCGGGTCAACCCAAACCCGAATAATACTGGGTCAGTTTCGGGTTCGGGTCAACCCGACCCGTAACCCGAAATTGACAGGTCTAGTTTTTATACTCATCTTGTTGCAAACATTATCCTTCCAAAGGTTTTGGATGGTTTAGCACAACGTTCTATGATTTTTCAATCCATTTGTACCATTAATGGCAAAAAATGTCATTTTATTATTGATTTAGGGAGTTGTGAAAAATTGTTAGTTGAATCTGAGCTAGAGAAACTTGACCTTCCTGTTCAATCTCATCTAAAATTGTGTAAGTTATCATGGCTAAGCTAAGCAGCAGGAATTACGATCTCTCATCAGGCTTTGGTTCCTTTTGATGAATTCTTCTAGGGTGTCGTACCAAGGGATGTGTGTCATCAACTTCTTGGTCGACCATAGCAATTTGATCGAGTGGCTATTCATGATGAGTGAGCTAACACAAACCTACGTATTTCAAGGACACAAAATCATCTTATTACTTTAAAGTAACCCATTGGCCGTAACAAGGCCCATCTCTGGCACAAACTTAATGTCTCCCAATCCCTTTGAAAGAACTGTCAGAATCCAATATTGTCTAAATGTTTATCAATAAGTTCCAACATAGACATGTGCTAAGCGAACCAATCATTCAGCCTCTATTTGATGAGTATCATGATGTGTTTCCAACATATTTGCCTAATGAGCTGCCTCTATTTGATGAGTTTTATGATGTGTTTCCAAAAAGGATGGGTCATCGTTGTTATGTATAGACAGCCGTACAATAAATAAAATCACACAGTCGTGCAATAAATAAAATCACAAGCGTTAACATTTTTCTGTTCCCTGCTTATAGATGATTTATTGCACCAACTCAGCATTGCTGAAAATCATTACAAAGTCGAATTTAAAAAGTGGATATCATCACATTTATATTGATTCGGGAGATGAATGAAGGATTGCATTCAAGACACAAGAGGGCTTATATGAATAGCTTGTCATGCCATTTGGTCTTCCTAATGTACACTTTTATGTGTGTTTGCATCAAGTTTTTCATCGTTTCATTGGCAATTTTGTGGTTATTTATTTTGACAATATTCTTGTCTATAGTTCAGATCTTGAACCTTATATGCAACATCTACGAGATATTTTATTTCTCAGTGTAAGGAGAAATTATACGCCACCATTCAAATGTGTGCTTTCTCCCTAAGCAAATGAAAATTTTACGTTATATCATTTCTCAAAATGGCCTTGCTACTTATCCATCTAAGGTTATGGCAATTCAATAATAACCACAAGCGAGAACTCCTGATGTTTGTAGCTTTCACAAATTTGATTCATTTTATCGTTGATTCAATGCACATTTTAGTAATATTATAACCCCTTAATTATAGAGATTCTCAAAGAAAAATCATTTGCATGGACTGTCTCCACTAGTTTTGCCTTTCAGTATATCAAACATCTACATACAACAACTCCTATACTCATTTTGTCAGATTTAACAATTTCCTTTAAGCTACATTTTGCATCAATCTGATCGACTACTAGCTTATTTTAGTGCCAACTATGCAGGTGCTAAACTTCATTCCAGCACCTATGTTCTTGAATTTTATGTGGGTCGGAGTTCGTCAAACATTGTTGTCATCACTTGTTTCATAGGACTTCATTTTGAGCACCGACAATGAGCTGCTAAAATATATTTACGAATCAAGAAGAAGTTCCTATAGACAAACATCATCAGCCACGTATCTACAAAACTTTACATTTGTTATGAAACATAAGGCTGACCGGGTGGAGGATACTTTGAAATGCATATTTTAGTTCATGCTTTCAAATTTATTCATGATTTATATAGCAATGATCCATCTTTTTAAAAGGTTTTGTTACAAACGCATGCAAATATCACTTTCAATTTCTTGTTTCAAGAAGAATTTCTTTTCAAAAGGCTGCAATTATGTATTCTTTTGTATAGCTTATTCTATAAATTTTGCCATGGATTACATTAAGGCTATGTTGGTAATTATCGCACCCTAAAACAGGTGCTGGCTCATTCCTATTTCAAGCTAACCATGTAAAAGGAGATGGAAAATTTTATTGACCATTGTTATTGATATGTCATCAAAAATAGCCTTTGGAGCACAAATCTTGAAGCATATTCAAGTTGACAACTTCCAAATTTAAATTTGGGACCATCCGAAATCCAATTTCAACAAACTTATAGTCAAATTGAACATCTCAATGAGACGAGCAAAACAACAATAAAATAAATCCAATCAGAGTCCAAATGGGTCCAAATCAGTGGCTTGAAACACATTTAAAAGCTCCAAAGCATTAATTGGATGACCAAATGATATCCAAATATGACATGTTTATAATCAAATTGAACAATTTGATGAGACGAATCCAACATGCCCAAGATCGCTTAATTCTGACATCATTAAGGCACTTAAATGCTAAACAAACACTCCATAATTGAAGGAATCAGTATGGGTCGTCCGATGGAGCACTCCAAATTTACCCTAGATCTTCTACATATTTATGGAGCATGCCACTCTCAAAATCTATAAATAGATCTCTGAATCCCACATGGAAAGAGGCTAATACTTTTGGAGGCTTGAACCTGAGGCTAGAGACTCAATAGAGCTCTGAGGCTTGAAGAATTTCAGAGCTCCACCCCATCACCATCATCGGTGAACCCTCGCCACTAGTTCGCCGCTGTTGGACCACTATCTAACAATCGTCGTCGGACCTTCGTCTAACAGCCACATTGAGTCTTCATCTGACCTCCATCAACCGTCGACTACAATCCATCTAACCTTCGTCGCCCACCAAGTAAGGTCCCTTTGATCTTTGTCTCCCGCCAACTACGATCTCTCAGACCACCGTCGTCTGTCGCCTACGGTTGCCAAGACCATTGTCGCCCACCGAATATAGTCTCTCCGACCTTCAACGCCCACCGACTGTTATCCCTACAACCACCATCGCCGACCGACAACAGTCCCTTCGACCTCCATCGCCCGACGATTATGGTCCCTTTGACCTCTATCACTAATCACCTGCCAACTGTGGTCCCTCTGACCTCTATCACCCGACAACAATCCCATCAATCTTAGTCGCCCAACTGTGATCCTATCAACCAAATGAACATGCCAACGTTCTTTTGAGAAGAACAATCATGTCATTAGATTCTTCAAACCATGTAATGTGCTTTATATGATGAAAATTTGCTACATTGAGCAAAGGCCTTCCGCCGAAGAAGAGCATCATTTGTAATCAACTACAAATACTAGTTGAATCATTTTAACTGGGCTAGGACTTTTTATGTAAAAATCTTGGAACCAATAATGATGATGAAACCAATCATAACTTTTCTACAATTCATATCTAAAAACTGCACCAAATATGAGATATGCATAGTTACCACCAAAATTAAAAGGTTAAATCTCAAAAGCAGAGGAGTCTGAGATGATAATTGGAAGAACTTATGCATAGTGTATTGTAACTCTATAGTGAGCATTATCAGCAATTCCAACATAAATCAATCTTCCATAATAATAGCATTTCGAAATTGCAACCGGCTAAATTCCAAACCGTAACACCCCTCTAATTATCAAACACCCTAAAAACCACGCTCACAATCTTCTACCTTGCTAGTAACCAAATTCCTAATCTTACCATCACAACTCCCCTTCCACAACCTACTCTAACTATTGCGTCATCACCCTTTCATTCTTTGCCTCACTCGCCCCTTCCATCAGTGTTGCCTAAAACTTCACTTATCGCCCTAGTCCCATCCCATTCCATCCAACCATTTAATGTGCTTTACATGATGCATATTTGCTACATTGAGCAAATGCCTTCTCCCGAAGAAGAGCATCATTTGTAATCAACTAAAAACACTAGTAGAATCATGAATCATACTACAATTCATATCCAAGTACTACGCCAAATATGAGATATGCAAAGTTACCACCAAATTAAAAGGTTAAATCTCAAAAGTAGAGTCTGAGATTATAATTGGAAGAACTTATGCATTATGTAATGTAACTCTATAGTCAGCATTATTAGCAATTACAACATAAATCAACTTCTCTAATAATAGCATTTTGAAATTGCAACTAACAAAATTCCAAACCATAGCACCCTCTAATTATCAAACGCCCTGACCCCCCCCCCTCACAATCTTCTACCTAGCTTATCGCCAAATTCCTAATCTTACCATCGCAACTCCCCTTCCACAGCCTACTCTAATTGGTGTGTCATCACCCTCTCATTCGTTACCTCACTCACCTCTTTTATCGTTGTTGCCTAACACATCACTCATCGGTCCAACCCTAGCCCCCATCCCCATCCCACCCTACCCCACATTGTCTTATCAGTAGGGGCATAAGGTTGTTTAAGATCTATAACATGGATAATAGAAGATTGCTGACTAAGGGTGATACATAAGAGTTAATGCAACATCTAACCAAATAGGAAAAATATAATTTCATTGCATGCACTTTACATCCAACCAAACAATTTAAAATAAACAAAACAAACTACATTTGGGTAACAAGATACATGCATTATAATACATCTAACCAAACAGACCCTTAGAGTAATGAAAGGATAGTTGATGATTTGGAAGTGGTTGATATGCTGAAGAGAGTGTTACCATGAAGGTCGCATTGAAAGCATAAAGATTTTTTTTCTGTTTTGTTTGCTTAATCAAGCCAGAATGGGTTATATGCTCAAATTCACAATATTGAGATAAATATACAACATAAATTAACCAACATGATGGCATTTCATCCTTTCATTATAATAGCCAGGACCGTTAAAATACCATCAGTCTCAAAAATGACTGTAAAGCACTACCGTGCCCAAAACTCACCTTGATAGTATCGTAGTAGCCCCATCCGACCTCACTGGACAGCCTGCCCAAAAGGCAGTACTTGTGACCTGGCTGGAGCCTCAGAACCCTAAGAACAACCAAATCCCCAGAAAAGCACAGCAGCGAAGCGCCGTCAAGAGCTAATCAAATTTAAGTATCAAAATAAAAAGAAAAAAAAACTCACTTGAGCGCATCAGGGATCACCATCCTCTTCTTCTTGTCATACGGGGGCGGAATGCCCTCATAGGCTTTGAGCCTTCCCAGTGCGGCAGCTCCTCTCTTAGTCTTATGCGGAATCATTCTATGCAAAAGACGAGATTTTTCTTAAGCAAAAGAAACCAAAACGAATAAATAAATAGCCTAAAAAAGGGAGTAGAGTATTCACCCGCGAATAGTTCGCCAGAGAATTTTAGCGGGAGCACGGAAGTGGATCGGACCATGAGATGGCTTGGTGTTCATGCGCTTGCGAAGGAAGCGTAGAAACTTCATCTTCTGGCGAACGAGGCCCCCGGACATGCAAATCTCTTCGCAGCGGACGACGACAATGTGCTGGCCATTGAGTAGCTCTTTCGCCACGATCGATGCCAGGCGGCCGAGCATGTGGTGACGGGCATCCACCACAATTCGCCGCTTGCTTATCGCCGATCCCGATACCATTTCTTCTCGCGCAAGCGTCGCCGCCGCTAGGGTTAGGGTTTATGCTTGGGAGCCGAGCTGCTTCCCTGTCGCTACAAAGACAATGGGTATTTGGGTTAATTGTCAAACCTTATACTTCTTAACTTCACGGGCTGGGCTTTTTGAATGGGTTTTTTTTCTCTAAGTGATAATACTAGAATGGCCTGTTGGCTGGCAAATAAAATAATTAAGGCTTTATTAGATTGTTCTAATAAAAATAAGAACATCAAGTATTTTAAAATTTATTGTTTATTTTCATAAATAATTTCAATTTTTCATATAATAATATTACATCATTTCAATAAATCAAATTAATCAAAAAATAAAATTTGCAAATATCTTATCTTATCAATAGATTTATAAATAACTTATATATTTTTAAATATTAAGATTATTGGTTAAAATAATTAAAATATTTTGATACATATTGGCCCTAAATGATTTGATTGAATTTGAGGGAATAAACTTTATGTTGAAAATTTTTTATATTTGATTTCAGAATAATTAAAAGAAAATAAAATTTATTTTAAATACATGAATTATTTTTTTTCAATTATAATTATTTAGCCTGGTTGAGTGAAAATTAAGAATTTTTTTATTAAATTATATATTTAAATCACATATCTTCTGTTTGAAATAAATAAAAACCTAATTTCTTATGCTTAAAGAAAAAATATAAAAATATTTTCCATTTAATTTCAGATCAATCAAATAAGTGAGCACAAATTTCTCTTTAGCCTGACAAATGGGTGAAAATAAATTCCATTTCAGTTTTTTAATCATTTTGATTTCTTTTTATTTTCTCTCTTTCAAATCATCTAAATCAAGCTAAGCATTTGATATATCATCAAAAAATTCATCAAAAAATTCATCAACAAAGTATAGATTTTGATAAAAAAAAAAAAAAAAACTTTATGATTGACTTCAGGATCACCTCAACTCTGAATTCATTAGACTTATAATTAAATTAAATATCTTGATGAGACAAACATAGAGACATTAAAATTTATCCAAGATGATTCCTAAAAACCTAAATCAAGTGTTTCAATCCTACTTAAAAATTTCAGACATTAATTGGATGACAAAATGATTCCAAATTTTGTGTGCTTAATATCACAATAAGCAGTTCAATAAGAGAAATCAATTAAGCTTAAGATCACTCGATTCTAAGAACATTAGAACACTTAAATATTGATAAAAAAAACATTTAATAAGAGAAATCAACACATGCCATCTGATAGATTTTTTAGGGATTTTGGAAAAAAAAAATAAAAATAAATGACACTCTTAAAAACTATAAATAGACCCATAATATTCGCATAAAAAGGAAGCTTAAACGTTCACTTGAAAATTGGAGAGAGATTGAAAATCCAGAAAACTCTAGAACCTTTCTTGATGTTCGATATTGATAATCACCACCAGTAATAATTGTTTCCTAATAATCATATGAACTTCATAACAACGCCATCATCATCCAACTGCACTTACTCGACCACCATCTCTCATCTACTATAGCTTCATCACCATCACCCAATAGCTATTGTCCAACCTTCATCACCATCACCCTCCACTAGTTCTCAAATAATCTCTACTAGAAATGTAGAAGACCAAGATAGCTTTTATAACTTGGTAACTCCATCTTATCTAAATTGAGAGGTATAGCTGACTTCTATAATTTTGGTTACATGGTAGATCATTTCAACTAGGTTATGCCACGTGATTTTTAAAGTTTTAATGTAAAAAATTTGGTGTCTCCCATATCACACTTTTATTTTGCGAATTAGATATTTATGTAAAACTAAGTTGTTAAAATCTTACTATACCCTTATGAATATTCTGGCACACAACAATTTAAATATATAACATAACAAGTTATGTTTCTTGCTCTAAAATTCAATTAATTCATATTAACATGAAATAAGTTGAGGTGCCTAAAAATGCCACATTCATAGAGTATTTGATTAAAATTGTCGCACTTTAAGTAAAATCATTCATAACCCACCCAAGAAAAAAATTATAGTAAATGTTGTTGCTTGTTATAAAAATTGTGGCTAGGGAGATTAAGTGTATCATCATATATTACATGAAGATCTTGCATACACAGAAGTAATGAAAGATAAAATTGCACATATGTAGAGGATAATCATTTCTATGTTGAGAACCTTCAAAAGAAAAAAAAAAGCCACATTGTATGCCCAATTGTCAAGGATCCAACTAATCTTGATTCATTATTATAAATATTTGCATTTCCAATATAAAAAGGATAGAGAGAGCTTAACAAAAAAAATTGGATTGAAAATCGTCTCCTTGAATAATAGTATGAGGTGGTGACCTCAATAAAGGATGACAAGCGAGTGCTGATCAACAATGATGGCAATTGATGATAGTGGGCATTGGGAATTAGTAAACAAATGCTAATCATCTTTAAACGTCAAGTGATGTAGTTAGCAACACCTGGTATTAAGGGTTGACTAATGATAGTATAGATTTTACAAACACCAAGAGGGTGTTAACCTAAACTTTTTTTGTTATATCAATAGAATCTTGTTGGCAAACATCGAGTGAAAGCTGACATAAAATGTTGGCAATGGTTTATGATTGTCATACATCAATAATAAGTATTGGACCATGTTGCTTGGCGAACATTTGGAATTGTGGTTCAATATAACAACATACGTATTAAGTGCTCACTAATGTTAGCATAGGTTTGACGGACATCAGGAGGTGATCGAACTAAACATTTTCTTATGAAAGGGGCGATCATGTGACCTAAAGGCAAGCATTGAATATTAACAATTGACAAACATTAGAAAATTGTTGTTGTGGAAATTGAGTGAAAGTTAATACAAAATGCTGATTGTTATTTTCATCGATCAATAATAAGTATTGGACCATGTTGGTTGGCAACCATATGAAATTGTGGGTCGACATGCATCTATGAAGGGCTATGGATAATATCGAGAGTTTTACATTAGCATATTTATTGACAGTTGGGTGTTAAGCAATTGTGGATATAAGACAAAATTGCTTAGTGAAATAATGGTTTTGTGGGCCAGTGATAATTGAGAATCGGATGTCAATACACTACAAGTATTGATCAACATTAATCGACAGGTACCCAATGTTGTGGGATAATAGCTAGCATAAGGCTATAGCTGACATCTAGTGTAGCCCATTAATGCTTGTTGTTTAAACCATAGTCAAGAGACAATATTGAATAAATATTTTATGTATATTAGATGAATGTGGAATGTTTGGGATCAAAACAATGATATTCCAATTTTTTCATATCAAATATTAGGAGGCATTTGCCTCGGTGGTTCTCCATATGATAAGGAGACCATGCAATCTGGTAAGCTGAGATCAAACATTGAGGTTGGGGGTGACCTTGCAGGTAAATGTTGAATGTTTGAGATCAATCAGTATTAAATGTCGACGATTGGTCAAAAAACAAATGTTAGGCAGTTGACTAAGTCGTTCTCCATATAAAGAGACGCTAAAAAATTTGGTAGGAGGACCAATCAACTTGACAAGCAAATGTTGAATATAAGATGTTTGTTGCTAGTGAATAGCTAACATTAGTGAATGTTAAATACCATGAGGTGATCAACTAGGTTATTATTCATATAAGAGGGAAATCAATGACTTGGCAAGTGAACATCAAACATCATGTATCTATTGTTAGCAGCAATTAGAGGTGCAAATGAGTCGAGCTCGAGCTCGAGTTAGGAGGTATTCAAGTCGAGCTCAACTATCAAATACCGAGCTCGAGCACGACTCGTTCCACTATAAACGAGTTCGAGCTTCTCGTCGAGCCTTTGGTGTGGTTCGGTTCACCCTCAAACACGCACATTCCTCCAAAAATTAATTCGTGATATTAATTTGCCTTAGAAATGCAGCAAAAGAGAGAGAGAGAGAGAGTATTGAGATTTGAGCCATTTTTTTGGGTTTGCAAGAGAGAGAATGAGTTTTAGGCACCTGTTAGCATTTATGGTATTTTGGAAGAGAGAGAGAGAGAGAGAGAGAGAGAGAGAGAGAGAGAGAGAGAGAGGTGACTGAGGTTTCAGAATCATGTGGGATTTTAAAATTCGAAATACGTGTGGGATTTTAGAACTCGAAATACGTGTGGGATTTTAAAATTTCAACCGGAGGAAATATCAGATTAATTTTTGACTTAAACTGAATTGAGATCGCATAAAAAATGACTAATAAGCCAAATTTTACTTATATCTAATTTGAAATTTAGCAAAACTTGATATTAATTGCATAAGATTGAGACTATGAGAGTGTATGTATGAATGCTAGAGTAAGAACTTCCCTTTAAAGATGGAAATTAATCAAGATCAGATTTATTCTTGCCTTGAATTGAATTCATTAATGAATCGAAGCTATTGAACTATGTGAGGCTCAAATCAAGATTGAATCAAATCAATTACTATACTAATTTCTTTTATTAGCAGCCCTGATTGCTAGAAATATAAAAGGCAATGAGGAGATAGAGTCTAAATGATACTCAAATTGAAGAATGCAAATTTCCAAGCTAGAAATCCCTTACAATTATTACCTAGGTAAATCTTTCATAGCACTGGCCATATTTTAATGGTTAGCTAAGCTCATTGTGATTCAAAACTCATGAGTTGGAACTAAATAAAGAAATAACTCTTTGTTTTTGGGTTACTATTGCTCATCACAGGAAATGATTTGAATGCTTTTAGAAATATAGGGATCATATAGAATTTGGATATATAAATCTTCATTAATATGTCAATTATTTTGATTAGTTATATGACTACTTAAAATGAAGAAGACCTGTTTAAATTTACATTAGAGAATTAATTGATTGAGAGCTAGCTTGAAATCAAGCTAATTCAAGTTAATCTAGTTTGAGATCAAATAAAATCAAGTTGTAAACATGCTTGAAGTTGGGACTAGAGTTCTTGAAATCATATCACTCAAGTTAGCATTGTAAGGCTTTGGTTGAATTGAAGGAAAGAGAATGAAATGAATTAAAATTCAAACAATTTGTTAGTGAATTTTAACCATTGATTTGAAGCATTTAATTCAAATTCCTA